TTCCAAACCTCTCTACCACAGCGTCCTTCATAATCATACCTTGGTTTTGGGACGCTAAAACTCAGGTATTGCTATGACATTAAAACACTTCCAAACGTGATAATCATTACATAGAAGTCGTGTATGACATAATTTACGTCAACATCCTAACGCTGTGCTGATTTTGAAGTTACATATCAACCTTCCTCATTCGTGCTTCGCATATCAATTCCCACTGTACTTGAGATCTACCTTTTTTAGATGCGGAAGCATCTTATACTCGCGCCTTGTAGTGCGCCGTCCGCGCCGTCCGCACCGCTTCTCGAACATTCGACAGCTGACGCGCGCGCATGCGCCGTCGCCCACCATCTGTGCCGCGCGCGCTTCTCCTTCGAGAACATTCGACAGCTGACAGCGCATGCGCCGTCGCGACGTCGCCATCTGTGCCGCGCGCGCGCTTCTCCTTCGAGAACATTCAACAGCTGACAGTGCATGCGCCGTCGCGCTGTATATATACTCAAGGTCGGCGCTCGCTCGCTCAGTTGCCGCTCGTCGGTTGGTTTGTACGGCGCGTCGACGTCCAAGGTCGCGGTGAAATGAATTCCAACGAATCCACAAACACGATGATCGACGTCCCTTCGACCAGCGCCGTCCTTTCGCATACGTGTGTACGTGTTCACTCATTTAACACCCCCTCCTACAACCACGTTAACCAATTTAGCCATCGACCCAAGTAAGTCGCAATTTAACACCCCATTTCACAACCACGTTAACCAATTTAGCCATCGACCCAAGTAAGTCGCACTTTAACACCCCGTTAACCAATTATATGCTCCGCATCCTCCTCAGTGTTCCCCCGAGGGAAGCTGCGGGCAATTTTTTTTTCTTTACCTTCAAATTTTTGCCAGTAAAATCAGTTGATAGTTTGCGCTTGTAGTCTCCACGTCGTTTCGTTTCTCCTTCCTCACTTCGTATTTCGCAGCAACCGCAGCGCAAATTTTCAATCATATATAACTTACCCTGTATGACTTCGAGAGCCACCAAAAGTGCTGTTTCACATAAAACATTGGGTTAACTTCAAGTTTTCAGTGTGCATAACGTTAGCAGCAACACACTGCACAAAGGACTCCGACTTACCGAATAGTTTTTATGTAATAAAGATGCTTTAAGCGAATCCACAAAAGTTAGGTCCAAATTTTGGTGCTTCAGTGGGCCGATGTCCCCGCCCTGACCGTTGGGAGGACTCGACGACTTAGGCAAGGCGATCATATGGCGAAAACGACTTGAATAAACGGGAGCTACGGCATCAATACAGTCGTGGTGCACGCGCACCTGCGAAGCACACAACAAAAGCGCGTCTCGACTAGCTCAACACTGAGCACAAAGCTGCCACATTACGTGCCGTCTCATACCGTAATCACTATCACATGAAATGAGAAAAAGAGTTCTACGAGTGGATTAAATTACAGAGAGAGCCAGGCTCTTGAAAGTCCTTCGCAATAAAAAAAACTTATACAAGTCTCGGGTCAGGCGAGAATTTCCTTTAGCAATTATAACATGGCGTGGTAGAAAAGTTAAACTACAACCATGTGTCACAACGCGAATTGCGGAACGAGTGGTTCGTTAAACGCTTCAAACTCATCACACAGGACTAATCCATTATTTTCCGTCGTCTTCAACCATAGCACGAAGTGCACAGAACGTTTGGCGAATGCACAGTGGATACCACACCTCTCCAAGATACGGCATATTGGATGCTTCCCTGTTCCGTAACAATTGCGATGATTTAGGCGGTGATGCGTACATTGCATCTTTACTTGTATCAGTTGCGCTAAGAGAGTCTGCAACACAAAAGCCTCTAGAAAGGTCGCTCTACTAGCTTTTGCTGCGATTGTGTCACGTGTTGGGCGCCGACCCAACAATTTTTTTTTTTGCAGTGAAAGCTGTTATGAGATCACAATTGAGGTCACGCGCAGTTGTCCGCTGCCGCCACCGCCGGTGTCCGTAACCAAATCGCACAAAATTAAAAAAAAAACTAGCTTTAATGACACAGTAGGGCTCGAATCCTGGTGCTAGCCCAGCATTCTACCCCTGAGCTACATCGGTGCTTGTAACTCGATGTAAAACTTGCCTTAAGCAGGTTTAACCCAGCACCAATGACACAGTGGGGTTCGAACCCGGGTTCACTGGGTGACAGCCCAGTATTCTACCACTGAGGTACGCTGGTGCTTGTGACTTGTTAGCAAGCTTGCCTTGGGCAGGCCTGCTGTCGGGAAAACAATCTCATTAATACGACTTATAAAGTGTTTTACAGCAGTGAAAGAACAACCAGTCGTCGCACAATGCACATAACGTAACGAGTTGACCATCTAATGCTTCAATCTAAGCTTGCTGTTGAACTGTGGCACATGCCCACTTCAGCCAAAATTCCTCATTTCTATCAGCCACTGCATGAACAATTGACATAAAATTCCTTTCAAGTGTTTAGCAGATACCACGCTTCTCAGAAGAATGACCAAAAATAGCATAGCAAATGCCGGCCAAATTATTTTATTAATAATGACCTGGTGGATATCAAGCAAGTTTGCTTGCAGTAGTTACCCAATTAGTGTTTCAAAAAGGCTCTGAAAGGCTCTTCTAGTTTTTGCTGTGACTGTGCTGTGCCTTCCGCGCAGGCCTGGCGTATTTTTTTTTACTTTTTTTTGTCAGCCACCTTCTTTTTAACAATGCTCTCTCCTGATCAGATCGCATTTCGTTAAACTCTCAACTGCAACCACATGAATATTGTTTCAGAGACATAATTCTATGCACCATGCATGGTGTAGCAGCAACAATAATGCAAACTCGTAATCACAGAAGAAACAAGCTTCTGGAATATTGCCGTGTCAAACTCACTTGCCCATCTTTATCACACTACACGTTGCTGGGTCAAGTTCTGCTCTTTGTTGCGGGTATTTTTTCGTTCGAGCTAGGATTTACTTTTTACTTGTTTGCTCCGGGCAATTATCTCCGGCGTCCTCATATCAATAGGACATTGTTCCTTACTACGGACACAAATACAACGTGCTTCAGGATCAGTTGAAGTCTGTTTGTGATGTCGTAGCAGAGTTTCAAAAACAATTTTCACGTGATCGTGGACGACTACCGATTGATAAATAGAGTGGGCCTATCTGCCACTATTTCTCAAGGTGACTGTTTTCTACCATGAAGTGTTTACGCGTGTCATACTGAATGGTTCGCTGACTTCTCAATCAGTGTTGCAATAGCTATACTTGCCGCTTGGTTGCTTTTGATGTCACAGTCTTGGGTGAGCGGGAACGAAGCTATGGAAGCCCCCGCTAAAATATTTGCTAGAATGGAGTCATATATTTTGTTACAGCCTCTAAACACTCCTACAGGTACGCTAAAGTCTCTTTTAGTCCCTTTAAAAGGACACTAAAGCCTTAAAGCAACACTAGATAACAACTTGCGTAATAGTGAAACCTCAATGTTGGCGTCTAAAACGACAATATAATCATCGTGAGGGCCATACTTACCGAGAAATAAAGTAATATTATAAAAATAAATACGCCGCTGTAGGACATTCTAAAAATGATCCCGATGACGTCAGACAAACCGCCTATAATTAATCACTAGTAATCGGTCTGACTGCCTTAAATAAAGAATTTTCGTCCATCAAGAGACGTAAAAAAATGCTGCTTCTTCGTGTCTGCTTGATTCATGGAAAAAAAAAGAACCGCCGGCCATTAGTATGGAGAATGGCACAAATGTTTAGAAATTCAATTTTCATGTGGTTAAACTGGACAGGTCGTGCCGTCTAGTGGGGCCGAATTGAACCAAGCACGCCAGCAATTTTGAAGGCCATTGCTGAAAAGTGTTGAATGGACGTTGTTGCTGCTGTGGCTCCGGCTAATTTCCCTCTGCTGCTGCTATATAGTGTCGGCAGCCACGCATTGGTGCCGGGTAACGTTGTGCACGTAAGCAGTGACATCAGACGTTCTGTTAAGGCGGGTGATATGAAGTGTGCTAACCCGACACGGACCACTGAAACACAATTTCATTTCAAAATAAGCCCTTCATCGGCACAAAAGTATCATTACGATGTTGCTGAACCGCTACTTCTACAATAACATCTACCTAATAGTTGCCTCCAGTGTGCCTTTAAAAGCGTCAGCTTCAATACATTCATCATCGCGCACACACACAAGGCACGCACGGAAACGCACGCACTAGCGTCAACAATTAAAACAAACCCTGCGTGAACAAGCAGGCACTTGGCACAAATATATAAGGCTACAAATCAGTAATCGAAAAGGGAGTTGCTCTAAACGTTTATGGCGCTCGTTACGAGAAAATTGTGCCTCACGCATACTACAAAGCCGATCACTTCAACCATGCTTTTGCTTATTTTCTATTATTTTTATTTTTCCTAAGCCTAAACACATGCTAGGGAAAATATATGTCTAACCGCAATGTTGGTCTTCTTACAAACACGACCAACTCTCAACCAAGCTAAAGAACGACAACACTATGCAAAAGCATACAACCAGGTGATAACAGAAGTGTTTTTTTTAACAATAGTCATTTTCTGAAACATTTAAGTGACATGAATAACAAAACAAAACAAAAATAAGTAATACAACTCCATCCTATCAGCACAATTGCTTCAAGACGTATCTGGCGCTTCTAGAAATCATTCTCCACGTCCAAAAAAAAAAGAAAAAAAGATAATATTGTCACGGGGTCGTGACGTGGCCAACGTGTCAATATGTAGGACCAGTGCACATGAAACCAATATAATAGCATTTTATTTAAATTTTCTTTTGCTCGTCGTTCTTTTTTGTGAACAGTCCATTGTGTAACAACGAATATGATACACCTATAGGCCAAACAATCGTAGTAGTCGAAGCGTTCTTTTCCTACTTTGTAATTGCGTATCACACACTTGGTCCACGCCACTCGTACGCATGACGTCCGACAGCACTGCTTGTTTTCGACGGTCTCAGCCAGGTAGACAATGACGAAAAGATAGTAAAGGTGTCGTTTGGTGCCATAGCGTGCGTGTCGTTGCGACGTTCGCATCTCGCGTGGGTCACTCGTTGCTCTCGTCGGCCTTGGGCGTCACGGTGCCGCCTTCCTTGTCGCCGTCGGCTTTCGCAGGGCGCTCCTTTCTGGGTTTGTCCAAGAGGCACAGGCCGTTCTGGCACACGCCTTCGTGCACGAAGAACTGCGCAAACAACGAGGTTCTCGCTTCAGACAGTGGACAAACACCTTTAACGTGTGCGTCAGCAGAGGGATATTCAATGCCGTTAGTCACTCGATACGCACACTCAAGAAGGCAAAAACAGAAACGCACACTTTCGCGTTACGTTTGCGCTGGTAGGTTTGATGTAAGAGCTAAAGATGTTGCGGTAAAAGGACTCAGTCTTACTTGAAACACGCACTGCCCGAGGTAGATTACTAATCGAGATATCGTGATGTTAACGTCAAAGATGAGGGTGGCATAATTCACTACGGAGGCCTAATTGATACGCGGAAAAATGCAAGAATGTCGGTGTGCTCAAGGTTAGAGGCGAGTTAGGAAACCACGGCGTCTCTCATAATCAAATAGTGGTTTTGGGACGTTAAACCCCACATATCAATCGAGTTAGGAAACCACGGGGGGTAAAAATTATTGAGAATCTATTTAGTATGCATCCCACGATGCGACTATCCCTCCCGATCATCCTGTTTTAGCATACCCGCACAAATTAATTTGATTTATCGCGCCTGATTCTTCGTCATCCTCTGGCACTCTTTTTTCATCTGTAAAGCAAGCATGTACGAGTTCTCATAATGTCGTACTTCACGCCGTTCATACCATGCTGCAGGGGCGCTATATTATTTAAAAACTTGAAAAAAAATTGGCAGATCCACGTACAGTGCGAATCGATGATATGCGCAGATTAAAGGAGAAATGTTGATATGTCACTTTAAAATCAGCACTACTTCACGGGGTGGAGGTAAATGAAGCCGTACATCAATTTCGTGTCATAATTGTTTTGTTCAGATGTGTATTTCACATTCGTCATCTATTCACGTCACGTGATAATAAATTGCCCCGCCGCGGTGATCTGGTGGCTAAGGTACTCGGCTGCTGACCCGCAGGTCGCGGGATCGAATCCCGGCTGCGGTGGCTGCATTTCCGATGAAGGCGGAAATGTTGTACGCCCGTGTGCTCAGATTTGGGTGCAGGTTAAAGAACCCCATGTGGTCGAAATTTCCAGAGCCCTGCACTACGGCATCTTTCATAATCATATGGTGGTTTTGGGAGGTTAAACCCCACAAATCAATCAATCAATCAACGTGATACCAACTTTAGCATATGAGGAGCTAGCGAAACGGCCGCGAGCATGCTATGAGCGTGGTATGTTATGTTCTTACATGAAACGCGTGTCAGGATCATCATGTTGGCACCAGTAATACATTTTGACATCTATTGGCGTCACGTAACACCAAATTTGTTCTATCTGGAGCTAGAAAAATGGCGGCGAGCGCATCATGAAGGACCCAAAAAACATCAATGTAGCGCTGACGCCCGTGCACGCTGGGCACAGCGACGCTACGTTAGCAAAACGCGAGCACTCTATAGTTTGACGTTAGGCGCGACCAGCGTCCGTCGGTGCGGCCCGACAGCAACCGGCGCAAAATGCGACATGCCGCATTTCGCGCCGATGCGTTACCCAGACAACACTGCATCTCCCTCTTTTCGTCACGTAGGGACGCCGGTGCGCTGAAACGCGCATGCGTCAGAGAAACGCAGCGTAGCGCGCGCCTGCGAGTATATGGCAGGGCCGCCGCCTGGCATGGCAACGCCGGCGTGATGCGACTAAATGAACGTCGGCGAGCACGCGCACCGTGTCACGTCGAAATGCATTGGCGCCTTGACTGTGGCATGTAGTCATTTTCTCACACGACACACATCCCATGGTTATCATGTTTGCATTAGCCTCATACTTTCGTCATCTATTGGCGTCACGTAATACCATATTCGGAATATGTGAAGCTAGCGAAACGGCCGCGAGCGCATCATGAGTATGGCATGTAGTCATGTTGTTACATGACACGTATCTCATCCTTGTCATGTTTGCAACAGTATCGTACTTCGTCATCCATTCACATCACGTAATACCAAATTTGGTGTACGTGCAGCTAGCAAAACGACCACCAGCGCATCATTAGCGTGGCATGTAGTCATGTTTTATATGACACACATCTCATGATTATCACGCTCGCACCATTCACATATCTTCGTCATCCATTCACGTACTATAATACCAAAGAAAGTATATGTGACGCTAGCGAAAAGGCCGCGAGCGCATCATGAGCGTGGCATGTAGCCATGTTTTTACATCACACGCATGTCATGATTTTCATGTTAGGGTCGGTCGCTTGTGTTCGCCGTGCAATCATGTCATACCATACCATTTTTGCAACATGCAATGTGAACGAAACCACCGCAAGAGCTGCAGGACCATGAAATGTGAATCATAAAATTCATGATATACATGTCATTATTTTCATGTTATGACTAGTCAAATATGTTTTTCATACAGTCATGTTATGCCATACCAGGTTTGGTATCAATATCAATATCGAAACGGCCAGGAGAACTAAATGTCATGAGCAGTAGATCGAAGATAGATAGATAGATAGATAGAAGATAGATAGATAGATAGATAGATAGATAGATAGATAGATAGTAGATAGATAGATAGATAGATAGATAGATAGATAGATAGATAGATAGATAGATAGATAGATAGATAGATAGATAGATAGATAGATAGATAGATAGATGCGCTCGAAGTCGCCGAAGTTCGCTTAGAAATGCTTGGTATTTAAAAAAATTATCTGGATCACTGATACTTTAAAATGTCATTTTGGAGGATGTGCTTGTGCGCTTACATAGTGAGCTTTATTGCTGTTGGTGGCTACATGGCACCAAGTTAGCTACCTATTGACCCAATTGGTTATAACAATTTTCAGTTGGCGCCATGGTCTTTAATTGGCTACTTCAATATTTTTGCTTGTTCAAACTGATGTTATTTATTCATCAATAGTAAATTCATCTTTGTGTTACCAGTCCTGTTTTATTTGGTAGTATTTTGCCGATAGTATTGGCTGACAATGCTAGTTTGGTCGCAATTGGCTGGAGTTTTGGCGGCTTTTCAATTCCACCCAACGGTTACCCTCCTTCAATTATTTTCGTTCTTTCTCGTTTATACAGAGTAGTCAGTGAGTGTGGGTGAAGCAGCATCGTTGAACGTTCCTAACAATTTTGTCACTGCAAGAGAATGTGATCAGTAAACGTGGTAGCCATTAGTATACGTCCATGTATTGCCGAGTTATAGCTCGAACGGCATACTTATACGAACATGTAAAATGCAAGACGACGTTAAGTGCACTCTCACTCTAACGATGTCATTTTTTTCAACCATCATGAAATGCAAAAACTGACTGAATTTTCGATTATTTTAAACCATGTTTATTCCCACTTTGACTGTGCATTTTGTTGCTTACATGGTAACCGCTATAAAGAAACAGCATTTATGTGTATAACAAGAAAATAGCGGTTTTATGCCAAACCAATTTCTATAGGCGTCACAGTGTTTCCCCCCAAGTCGTCATTATAGGGATCATTACATAATACCTAGTTGCACTGAAATCATCGTGTTGGTTACACGCAATAATATTAGACGTCTACGTGATTACGTCGTTCTATCTTTGGCACCACCAGGTGAAGGTCACACAGTCATGTTAAACGTGAACATAACACACTGCGTGTGCGCCGTTTGCGAAAAAAGGTGCTTTCTGTGTTCGTGATGTCATTGCTTTGGGGCGCTTTAAGAAAGTGTGCAATCACAGTCTGACTTACCCTGCAGGGCGTGCCGTCTTGCTCCATGCCCATTTTGATGTAACCTTCGGGCATGTGGCAGAGGTAGACGCAGTACGGGCGCACTTTTTCCTGCATCGAAACACACACGCATATATGTACAGAACTCTCGCTACATCACGACTCAGTTGCGTGCCTCAGCGAATGACCTCTATAAGACTTTGTAAGGTTATACTCATAATCATTAAGGCAGTACCTGTGAATGAAAAAGGCCGAGAAGCTTAATTACGTTCACGTGCTACTTCGCGTCATGCATGTTCGAAGAAAGAAATGCGTGAAAGACGCAACGAGAATACACTCGGTTGTAAACATGTTCGTTATTTTAAAGGAAACGTCAGTGGATTTTTAAACAAGAACAGAGGTTGTAAAAGTGCCGTTTCATTGGGGCATCGTGGAGCTCACATAAAAATGATATTCGCATAATCACTTATGAATATAACTACACGGCTTTTTGTGAACTTCATCTATTGATTGCTTATGGTGTACGGCTGGCTGCCAGTTTTCATAATTGAATGTCTTTCTTTCAGTTTCCCGCATAAATCAATACCTACGACTACATATGAGTCAGAAATGGGGCCTCGAACACAGTATAATAAAAAGTTTTAATTATCAGTGCAAGAGCCTAACAGAGTTGGCAGCTCGACGGGACATCATCTTGATTCAAGACGCGTCAGGCTGCTTGGCTTTACGGGACGTTTCGCTGGTTCTGCAGGTATTGTCGACGTCGCAGACAAAACATTTTCGGGTTAGTGCCTACTGATGACTGTTAAGCGTGTGCTAGGAGGCGAGGTACCTTCTCGTCAATTTACTGTGCATGGCCCATAGAGCAAAGCTACCACGTCGAAAACTGTCAAAAAGCTAGGCAAAAAGTAGCCATTCTGAACCAAGGGTGGTAAAACTGGCCAAAAGTGGCCTCGCGTGTGTTACAACTGTTGCCACGCTGCGGTTGAAGCAGCTTAATTCAAGAGCCTCTTGATATGAATATAAATAACTACAAAAAGGGCCCTTTAAAATTATTATTTCTGAGATAAAGCATGGAATCTTTACTTTCGCAATCATTTCGTGCAGGACACCCAATTTTCTCGCGCTGTTGCAGTAACGAGATACTCTCCACGCCTCTTCAATTACTTGTCTTGAAAGAGCTACAAGTATCAATGAACATGATGTATGAATGAGTATGCTTTAAATCACAGTTAGTTTGACTCAACCACAAATCGTATACCCACGTCCAAAATTGTTTCTAGTGGGATGACGACGACTGATCAGTTCATATTCTTCACATTACCTACCTAACCTTACACAAAAACAAACAGTTCGTCAGAAATTCGGTTTTTAATGCTGATAAGAGCTGAGCGTGAGAAATGCCATGTGCTTTCGGTTATCCTGTTGACTTCCATTCACGCTTTATAGTCGCGTTCAGCAATAGGTTGTCTGCGAAATCAGGTGCCATGCTACAGTTCTACCATCTTAAAGTCTCTTTTCTAAAGGTCTTTTTTTTGTGCTATGCAAGCAACAAATTTCATTTTGGGAGCTAGATACGCATCTTAGTCACGACATTTTTACAACGAATACTCGAACTCCCGCGGAACGTGCTTGAAATCCAGGTAACAGTAAACTAGCCAGAATGTAGCCAAGAGTCCAATAGCTTTTTTTTCAGCCGCTGCAAGTACAAAAAAAGTAGCGAAATCAGCGCAAAGCAGGCAAACTCATAGCACCTGTGGTGTAAATTTGACAGAGACTTAAGCAGGACCACGTCCCTGGTGAGTTCCGTTTTACCTACATATTAAATTACAAAGATTGGAAACAGAAAAAAATAACCTATGATCGAATTCTCCGGGTTCAAAATGTAAACACAGCTGTACGTATGTTTTATTTGATGATATAGATCAGGTAAACAATTTGAGTGAAAAGTGTACGCATCCAACTGCACTCTGCTGTTGACATTCAATTCTTATTCCTAATAACAAGTTTCATTTCAAATACTACAGTATGTCACGTTCAATTTTGTTGCTAATATTACATTATATTTATTTTCTGCTTATAAGCTGTGCCTGTCGGGGTCCTAAGGTTCACGCGATCACAGCTCCGCATTCTCATAGCTGTAATACGATGCATACCTATAGACCACTCACTACGTGCAGTATAGCACTAAAGCCCTGCTAATAACGCCTATAGAAAGTGTTAATATCAATGTTACTATAGTCGATGCAGTTCGAACTTTTCCCACACTATCAAAAAAACAGCTTACACGGCCAGAAAGTTGTGCCAGTTGTAAGGGCGTCATAAATGGCTTTTGTGTTGTGCGGTGCTATTTCCTTGTGTCCGTTTGTGGATGCGTTGCAATCGCACGTTACTGCAAATACGCTTTATCTCGTAACAAGAAGCAGTGATTCGATGGTTGCTGCTATAACTGCTGTCTGATTGAAGTTCGCACTGGCCATGCCTCTGTATAAAGCTTTCAATGACCTCTTTCCTAGTGACACTGAAACAGCTTTGGGATTTCACAACTTCGCGGTAGAACTTGTGAAAACGCTTGCCCGATAGTTTACTGCATGCACACCTACACTGGAGCTTGGCGAGTTTGCGTATCATGAAGCAAGGCGTGTTGTTGAGCTGGTCAGTTTTAGATTCAGCAAATTTTTAAAATTCTCCAACTGCTCCACTGAGACGGGACGAGATAAAAAGGAAAAACTCAACGTGTCTGCGACTGCCAGTGAAGTATTTATTTAACCTTTCTGGAGAACGTGACCAGTGTACAAAGTGTTTCCTTTTTTTTTTTCAAGGGGGGGGATACTCTTTTTGCTTCCGTGATAAGCCTGCTTTCACTAGCTCTCATGCAGGATTGTTCGGCCTTCGCGTCTGACTGGCAACGGACACACGTGGCGCGTTTCTTTTGCCCGTACAGGTATAAAGAAGAACGTTATGCTTGACCCATTCGGTATCGCGTGACACTTGCCATTCGTGGATGATGACGTACGCATGTTCGAAGTACTGTACAGTATTGCGGGCGTATTTCCTATCGTGCGTGCAACTTTGACTTTTCGTGTTTTTTTTTTTCTCGTAAAAATAAATTGCTATAGATTCATGCCAAGGCAAAGTTTCACTTTCTCCGGTTCCAATACACTTTTTTTTCTTTTTGTTTTTTTATTACCCGAGTGTAACTTTTTGTGGTATTTATTAGATCATTCAAGAAGCTCAATCGAGGCGTTTGAAAACAGTAATAAGTATGAAATAATTCCGTACTTCGTGCGGTTCAACGTTGTGTATCCTAGAGGTGTCTCACTGCTGTCATTTATGCCTCAGCCTTGCCCCTTGTGAATGAAAAAATAATGCTTAAATTCAAGTCAAGTAGTGTATTTTTTGTCTGCGCTTCCATAAGATCTTACTGTGGAGGTACACACCAATAACTAGAAAATGAGTTCCTTCCTCATCACTATATTTTATTTGCCTAACTTAGCCATCAAGTAAACGTTAAATCCGAGTTCTTATTTACATATCTTAACTCAAATGCTATTGGTCTTACATGACTGGCTGGACGGTAAATATAACTAAGTGCACAGTCGACTTTCATGGACAAACGCGTCCAATAATTTTAGAAAGACGCCATCTGTCATGGTCATCGCAAATAGCAATATACGTACCTTATGAAAAGTGGCTCCATGTAGCTTTCTTTTTTTTCTGATATCTTGGCTTGATAATAAGCACATATTAGCCTGTATACGACTAATACCTATTTCCGACGTCGGTACCAATTCTTAGATTAGCGTGAAATATATTCTTTAGGTAATATGGCCCCTTACAGTAGAATAGCATAGAAACGTAAACATTACAGAAATATATCATGCGCAATATTTATTTTCTTGCACTCACCACTTTGGTTCGCAGTCTGTGGCATTCCGGGTCCGTTGTCATTGTGGCGCAACTCATCTCAACAAGCACTCCTGCGCAGATAGGGATTGCTTAGAAAGTATAACTACCACGTAGTTTACAAATTTTTTTTAAATCTCAAACGGGGAATTAGTGTTAGTTGGCGCTTGGTCTTCAATTTGAAGGCATGTCCAAGTAATACTTTTAAACATCATTAGGCCCAGGCTGCTTTCAGTGAACTTTTCGTACATTAATTCTTCAAATCCCAACGTAAACGGATAATCTAGGAACAGCTCCAGATGAAAGCAGTTCGCAGTATAGCATCGCTCGACTCGTCTGACATAACTATTATAAATAACTCATTTGATGTTCAACGTTGAAAAAGAATACTAACGCCAGGCAAACACTTTTCAGCTTTTGGTCTAGGCTAGCCGAAATAAGCGCTTTTAGCTCCGAATAGTTCCTTTGAGCCGCCCATCACGGAAAGCGATTATCACCTCACTGAGCCTCCATTGTACCAGCTGCTTAGTTCTGATTTACTCTGCTGTATGAAAGCAGCTTTTCAACCTCATCTCCTTGCAATTGTTCGCTTGATCAGACACCCACAATGTATGCATTGATAGGTGTGAAACTCCTCCTTAATAACCGAAGAAATGTTTCTTTTAGGCAAAGTTGTACAGCCTCACAATTAGCCAGCAAATTAAACTAAATAAGGGAGGTCGTATTGGCTAAAATGTAATAGTATAATTTGTTGTGAAAACATCTGTAACGCCACACAAAATCACTCATCAGGAAAATATAGGAACCTATGGGCCTCAGCTCACACTTCCTCTTGCATAATCTGCCGGTCTTCACGCCGTTGTGCAGGACAGCACAACTGTTGCCGAATAGCAGTGAAACATCATATCGTGGCAAATTACTTATACTACGTCAGTCTTATCAAGTACTTTACTACTGCGTAAACTTAAGCCAGTCATGTGTGCTTAGTGCATTCATAGCGTTGGGCTGCTAAACAAGAGGCAGTGAATTCTATTTCTGGAAACTAGTGGCGCATTCTAAAGGGAGCTCAATGCGATAAATTTTAGTTCACCGTGTACTAGCTGCGCGCTTATAAAACTTTCCAAATATAAACTTGCTTCAATAGCGTTCGTTCTTTTGGTAATTGTAAGGAAAAACTTGTATTTTGTGCAGTGAATATTTTCGGTAAATGGTTCCTCTCAATAATCACGTTTGTCTCATGGTTGATTCACAATTTCCTATTCCGTAGCTAGACTGAATGTACACTGCAACTAGCCCCCCCCCCCCCCTATCGTCCAGTCATCTTTAAAAACACATTTTATGTTTGATCTGACATCATGATACGCAGTTATTTCAGTTTGTAGTTTGAATTTTTCTGATCATCCGAAAAAAAACTATAATTAGAAAAACCTTACCTAATAATCGTTTAATTGATAACAAAAAGCGTTTTATCCTCAGTTGGACTTTTCATCAATACGAGTTCATTTTCAGTAACTAAAGGTTGTGGAAATTTCCATACTCTTCCACTACAGCGTCTCTCATAGTGGTATATTCTGGTGTACTGGGAGTAGATAAGTAGATGATATGGCTGCTATACGTGGCAGTATCGGTACCAGTATGGGCAACGCAAATCTGAATATGAATAATCACTCACCCAAAACAACAAGCATGGCGACGCAGGCTGCTATCGTCTTCATGTCTCTATCGAAAACGGGCAGTGTGCTTCAAACGTCAACGGGTCTCGCGTATGAGGCACTAATGCGATGGTCACAGCAGAGGGGCTACGCCTCGATGGGGTTCTTCACTGTGAGCAAGCCGACTTTAGCAACAGACCCTATATACGTGTTTGTAGGCTCGCTACGTGTAGGCCGAGACCAACCTGATACATCCCAAGAAAGGGAGATGAGCTTCAAAAAGAATTGCATATACGCGTTCAATGCAGGAAGCCGCAGAACATGAAAGGAGGCAAGAGGTATTTCCTCTAAGGCTGTCGCGCAGCGTGAGAGATATCTCACGTGGGGGTTGCGGGTGCGAGAAAGAGAGGGGGTGGGGGATGACCTTGATCGAGTGACGTCACTTCAAGTGTAGTCCTCTCAGCGTGTCGACAGGTGTGCGTCATGGCGGGAGGGAGTGCAACGAAAAAAAATGTATATATATGTACGAGGAAACTTCAGGAAAGCGTAACACGAAGCGTTCAGACGGCTTGCTTAGGGCTCGTGCCGGAAGAAAAAAAAAAGAAGCGCAACTTTTTCATAGAGTTTACGCCTGTCTATCATGATTAGCTCCTTTCTTCTCTGCAGGCGTCTGTGTTTAGTTTCTAGTGGCGGCAACGCCTTTGTTCTTCACTGATTGGGACCCCTTCATTTACGATCCGAAAGACAATAGGATAAAAGGATTACGTGAAAAGAAAAAAAATAACAAAGGTCGTTAAACACCGTCTTCCGTCTCAATAGACGAGGAAACGAAGACATCCATAGGGTGTGTCACCTTCGGCTTTTCTTGCGCAACCTGTCGTGTATTCCTCGGCGTGTGGGATCGTGCACCGCGGAGGCCTCAATTAAGGGCGCGTGGCTTGTGTCAACGTTGGCAGTGCCGACAAACGACACGCGGGTGCGTCAGGTACTACAGACTGTCGTAGGAAGTGCCTCGCGGTGTTTCAAGGTCTCGGCAGATCCACGTACCTTACTGAGTCACCACTGGCATTGACGCGCTGTGACTCTATCGTTAGGGCGCTTAGCATTATGGTTTCTTGAACAGAAAACCGTAAAGCTGTTTACATTTCTTTTATTGTTGTTTTCACTTTTTTGCTCATGTGTCCGTGTTAAGAATCCGTTTTGTTGGTGAACGACATGTTGGGCCATCTTTTGATTTTCTTGTCTTGCTTTCAACTCCCGATCCTGTTGTGGGCGCTGCCCACAGACTAGGCTTTTGGGGACCATCGCCTCCTCAGGACCAAATGAAAGTATTCAGTGAATCAGTTGCATCTCGTGTTATAAGCGATGTGGCAACAACTGGGCGTCACTCACAAAGTATTCATGCCAGTTCTAGGAATATATTACCGAGTTTTACAGTTTTCGTTCCGCACTAATGTTTCAAGACTGCTCAGCTGAACTAATATAACACCCATTAGAAAAAAACTATCTATAACACTCTTCAGGTTTTTGTGCGACAAGGCGATCGCACCGAGAGAAGAAGGGCTTTTTAAGCCATACACTGTTTATTCAAAACATATTTATCAAGGTGCATGGACATACAGACACTGTAATCAAACACAAACAAAATAGCTGGGAAAATTGTGTTCAAGCGAATGGCAGGCTTGTGCATGCGCATTAATGAGGTCACTGTTATGAGGTTACATGTTACTCTTTGTGACAGGACGTGAATTTTGAAATACTTTCTCGTAGTATTTTTCCAGTGATTAAAAATAGCCGTAACGAAGAAAATACAATATAGTTATTTGTTTTTCAGCTTGTGAGTGTGTCATCGTTTTTTTTTCCTGCATCCTGTGTTCGATGCCATAGGGGGGGGGGGGGGGGGGAGGGGCTTCGTGATTGATCAGCCAACGCTCATATCAGACTGTCGCTTAGCGCGCGACGTGTCGCTGGATTCCATTCGCAGACGTGTTTAGGGGTATGAACTCTGTAATTGCATTAACAGGTGACGTACTTCTTAGCATTGTCGTTTTTGCAGCGGGTATCACTGATGTGATGCGTTGCCATGTTATTAACTATATCTCTCGATGTGAGCTCGGCCACATGTCGAATACGCATAGAAATTAAAAATAAACAGATGCATATAAGAGGATTCTTATTTCGGTGACAGACTGAGTGTGACTTTTTATTTCAGATATGCAAAGTTTGGTATCACTATTCTCCTTGCCTCACGGGCTCCCACAAACTCTATTTTAACTTTTTTTAGGCGAGAACATATTGTGCTAAAGACGTAACGGTGGAAAAAATTACAGACATGTCTGAGTGACAGAGCAAATGTTTAACTCCCTCGTATTTGCGTTGAAGGACATGCAGTTTGTATGTCTCGTTTACGTCAAGGAAGCTCAAGGATCTTCATTTTTGGGGAAGCGAGAACTGTTGGCACCACTAAGCTGTATTTACGAACAAAGTCATGTACCTGCTACAACAGTAAAGATATTAATACATTTCATCAATATTGAGGTGTCTTTTGCTGCATAATTTATTTACGACGTTCGTATAACGATAAAGTCCTCCGCATGAGTGTGCCTGTATCCTCCGCAACAGGCCTCGAGAATAGTCGTCGTGGTGCCATTTCGAATAGATGCGTTGTGTCGATATGTGTGGCGATTTATTGCCGCGTTTACGTCGGCCATTCTTATTCTGTTCTTCGTGCGGTGCTATTCATTCTGCTTCAACGTTATCTGACGCCCTAGCAGTGAGCGTCCCCAGTCATACGTCGTCTCCGGCAATAGTACCGATAGTACTTGCGAACATTTGTGGGGTTCGCCAGCAGCAAGAACTCCATGCTCTTAACTTTACACCTGTGTGCATCCGATGATGCAAAGATGCCGTGATTGTGGAAGCAGCGCCGTTCCAAAAAAGAATCCATGACAACTTACAGGGGGTTCGAGAGCCCACGCGCTTTCTTGAAAAGCAAAGGTTTACTGTTGCTGGCATCCCTGTTAACATTGCTACCAACATGCGCACAAAGACACGTTTTCGTAATAAAAGCCAACAGATTTTTTTGGTTGTGATAAATAATGGACGTGATATTCATAACCAGGATTTAAGGCGTTTTAATCTCGATTGGACTCGTTGTGTTATGTGCTGACATAGGCCCAGTATCTTGTTGCTTTTTCCGATTCCTTTGTCAAGGACCGACGCTGCAAAGCAACTTCGTCACCTGGCACGTAGTCTGAGTCTGCAGGAGTGGATCACCCCAAGCATAAGACATACGAGACTACACCAAATAACCCTAGACTGGAACTTCGACCTCCATCCGGACTTCGTCGACGTGAAGCTTCACTTCTTTGTCACCTTTGGTTGGGGGTTGCCTTCACAAAAGCATATAGAACCCTCATTGGATTGACCGACAATGCGGAATGCGACGTCTGCTGCACCAAAGAAGACATCGACCGTCTGACATGCCATTGCCCTCGATTTGCCTCTGAAAGACAGAAGCTTTCGGACGCATTGCGACGATTGGACGATCGGCCACTCTTTGTGCAGATGCTACTGGAACACCGTCATCGCCTTTCGTCGGCTCAAAAAGCAGTGAAAGCTGCCTTGTGCTTTTTGAGGACTACAGGCCTATGTGACCACCTTTAACTTTTGTGTAGTGCCACCGCTGTATACGCGGAAACATCCCCACTTCCGTCGCCATCGAAATTTTATAGGTAATTTTAGAGTTACTGTGTGTATTCAGGTGCTCGCTTCACACTATTGAAAGAAACACAATTTTAGGCATTCTATCACTTCCGGATTCTATAACAATTGACATATTAGTCGAAGTACAGTCTAGTTAAGTAGTTACAAGAAAAATGATAATGTCTTATTATCCTTGTATATTGTAGGAGATCAGGTCGTTTGTTTGTTTTCTTGAAAACAAATTTATCAGTGGTCTTATGCAAAGGTTCTAGTGAGTTTCTGTCACTAGGGCTCGACAGCACCGCAGCGTTGTTTAACAATATAAGCATTGAAAACACGTAAACACGTACATCAGGCTATTGGTGCCTGTAGAAAAGGACAGCCAGTTGCGTGAAAAAAATTCAGAAAATCGACACTGCACACATTTGATTTGTCATTGATGTTTATTTCGACAAGCTTACGCTCTCAAGCGACATAGGTATTAAGATTCAAAGCTTAATGAGGAAGCTGTTTGTGGAGTACCGGCATTTTCCAGATTCGCATTCACCGATATGGTAGGTTCTCCTTTTTTGAAACCAGCCGAAGGTGTCGCGAGTGTAATGACGCTGTGAAAAAGAAAAAAAAGAGCAAATTACTCGCACGGTTGGACGGGTTTTCACTTTGCCTGAATATGTTATACGTAATAAATGTTTAGTGGGGCGCATGCCCGTTTCTGTTGTGTCATACTTGAAGATGTCTGTAGTGGTTACGAAAGCACTGAAAAGTTTGACTTAGTAATACTTGTGCCACCTCGCTTATTTCAGATTCCTTGGGGGCATACTAAACAGAAAGACACACTCTGTCTAACGCTATTTTCTGTGTATTTACGGGCTTTTTTCAGGACCCTAGAGTAGGGAGAGTTAGATATATGATTTAATGGTAAGTATCTTGGTCACCTACGATTCACTGATGACATTGACTGATATGTGGGGTTCAACGTCCCAAAACCACCCTATGATTATGAGAGACGCCGTAGTGGAGGGTTCCGGCAATTTCGTCCACCTGGGGTTCTTCAACGTGCACCCAAATCTGAGCACACGGGCCTACAACTTTTCCTCCTTCATCGGAAATGCAGCCGCCGCAGCCGGGATTGGATCCCGCGACCTAACACTCAGCAGCCGAGTGCCTTAGCCACTAGACCACCTCGGTGGGTCTCACTGATAGCATTTCGTTGATGAATAACAACGGGGGCAAATTACAGCTTGTTATTACTGAGTTGGACAGGGAAAGCAAAATATTATGTGTAAAAATTGTTATGCATAAAATAAGGTTAATGTGCAACAGTCTCAGCAGTGAACAGTGCTTTGTAGGGTGCCTCGATGCCCGCACCCCCGAAGGAGTGCATATCGAGGCACTCTAGGGATTTGCGAAAGGTGGCGACACTGTGCAAGTTGTAAAGAGATTGAAATCCTCTCCAAGAAGCGTTCATATGTTCATGTGTTCATGTACCCCGTTTCCTTTTTTTTGAACTACGAATAGCGGGATGCAATCATTATGTTAAGCACAGCTTTCACATATATTCCTCTCGCTTTATTCATAAAAATAACGCAGCATTTCTCTAGAGGATTTCTGATGCCTACGTTTGGTCGTTTAGTGACATAGACTATCCTAGCCGAAGGTAACCAACTTACGAAACACAACGTCCCGTTGAGACGGTCTTCTGTCTCGTACCGTCTGCACGTTGCCCTGCAGCCACCAGCCACAATGAGCTGAAATAAATAATAGGCTTGAGATTGTAGCGTGAGTATAATGATAACAGAAATATGTTGTCGTTGATCGGCCACACTCAATCTCCGCATCGGCCTTTTGAGAGAGCGCTTAGCACCCGTGGTGTTTCCTTGCAACACAGAAATTTCAAGATTGTATTCGTCTTGTAACGTTGACCTTGAATGCCTTTACCCCTCATACTGATTGTGAATATATCTGAGCTGTGCACTACTGTAATTTTACTTCCAATTATTCATTTTTATGCTTATTATCGTTTCTACGTTTTTTTTCTTTCTGTTCGCGTGCAAACAGACGTACCCTTGAATATATCACCAGCTACCGCGCTCTACTTGATATTGTAATAAAATTTAACCCTTTATGTTATAGCGCAACCAAGAGACGATAGTAAAGAAAGAAGCACGTTCGCCAATATACAGCCAATACAGTGTAATTTGTTTTCCTCCTCTTCTTTGATAGTTTACCACCCATATATACCACACGTATGAATATCCAAGTTATAATGTCCTTGGTAAGCCTATAACGTATGCGACCATAGTTTAAGCATCGAGTAGCTTTGGCTGTGAGATGCATTTCAGCAGAAAAGCTAAAATTCACCCTTAAAATTGTTGCAAGACATTTAATGGCATTTCTACGTGCGATTCGTGACTATGTACAAATCGATAAACGAAATTTTCAATTTATTTTGTGTTTGGGAGTGGTTTGATATTCTTTTTATACATTTCGTTCATTTCTTCCGTCACATCACGTTCGTGCACTAAGTATTAAAGTATGCTTTTAAATTTCTTCGACGTGTTGTGGCGTCTATTTGCAATCCTTAAGTTTTCCCAATTTTCCTTGCTTCTTTCTTTCACTGCAAAGGCAGGACAACAAGCGAGCATGGGGGTAAGTAAGAAAGGAGAGAAACTTAAAGCCAAACATTGCTTTAAGCCCGTCAAATTACCCGCGTAACATTATTAAAACTAACTCTAAATCAACCAGAAGCGATGAGCTATCAGTGCGACATAGCTACCCGATGCACTGCGTTATTTCGCGCTGCTTAGACACTGAATATGCTTATATTTGGTAAACCGAGTTTTTAGATGAAGTGTGTTTTTCAGTATTACGACAATTTTCTTCCCTTTATAGTGGACAAAAAATTACCATGACGACCGCAGTCGTGAACTTTCGCTTCCTGTGCTTGCGAACACTTTAGCATTAGTGCAAGAAGCATGGCTTGTCGGATAAAACAAAGAAGCCCTGAAAGCCTCACCTCTGGCGTCACCTGCACGTCCTCTACTTTGCATTCTCGTTTCTTGAATATTTGTTTAGGAGGCCTCTCAGGAGCTAAAAAATTGGAGTGAAGAAACAAACATTTTGTATTCTTCAAAGACTGCCTAACATTGTTTTCATCATTCCAGCGACAGCACTCAAAATGTTTTAAACTTTGAGAGAGCCATCTTACGTTCATATAAACGCCTATATGTGGGTGAAATATCGCTTAGTTGAAGCGCAAACTGTTATTATCCTGTCACCAAAATGTTGTAAACTTATACTGAACTTCTTGGCGTTCGATAAGCTACATTCAAAATCTGCTTAGGTCATACAGTAAAAGTTCATTAATTTGAACTCGAAGAGATCTATATAAATGTTCCTAATAAGTGGAGTTCTGATGAGTGACCAGGCGCCAAAAAAGTACACCTATTGTGCCACATTGCACGGCAGAACAGAAAGAGGTCACCTCTGGTCTTGTTATCGTGAACTAGGTAGTACTTCACGTTTTTGAAAGTTGATTTTGTTGATTAGGTTACCAGAGTTTTTACCAGTGAACATAACTAATTCATTATCTGATTATATGCTCCATGTATGCAGGTGAGAAATGAGCCCTAATGTCGAAATGTATGATGTTATTTACACTACAAAACACTTTTTACATGGTAAAGTTAACGCAGTCAAACTTAAAGATAAGCGAAATCTCCCGTATACGTACTCTTTGTACCAGAATAAGGTTAACTGCGCAACAAAGCTCAATAATTTTTCATATGCTTGTGTTTCTCGAACGCGAATCCATGAGCAGCATCGTTCGTAGCTTGCTGAAGAGCTCCAGAGTAGCATCCAAAATTTTATATCCTGAGAAATGCGGCTGTTTCTTAGCTTTATATTTTATTTTAGTTTGCCTTTGCAACATTCTGCAATCATTCTGTGCCAACTTCTGAGTGGAGGGTTGAAAACCATGGGCTGCCAGTCTAAATTAACTGTCGTAGATACCAACGTATTCGAATGATCGAAAATTTCCCCCATATAAATAGACAGATCTGGGCCAGCACCAATGTGTCAGCTCAGATTAACTGTAAGTTCGAAATGATCAAACTTCTAGTGAGCAGAATTATTCAAAATCACAAGATTTCACTGTAAAGCATGCCTACAAAACTTCAATGAAAGTCGCACTATTTAATCTGCACCCATTACTCTATTCATTAGCACCATTTGTTTATCTAGTATTGAACGACCCTACAATTGCTGCTTAAGAGATAGCCAATGCCCTTCCATGTAAATCGAACACACAAATCAATCCATCTAGAAGCTTGGGAAAAGAACTACGTTTCCTTTTAATTTTTTTTTCTTTCTACATACAACCGTACTTACGTCGTTCTTGACATGTGCCTCCAAAGCAGGCCCCTACTCTTTGCAACATGTAACCTTCAAAACCAAACGAGTATGCCAACTGAAAAGAAAAAAAAATGTATCAGCGCAGTGAGCAGTAACAAATGCTGTTGATGTCTTCATATAATTAGGCAATCAGTAATTATCTCTCTTTAATAGCAGGAATTGTCATCCTAATTACCCATAATTGAGCGCTAATCCATTCATTTAGGAGTTTTGACTAATCCGATATGGGCACAAATAGCTGTACACTGGAGCAGTAGCAGAGTGTGGAACACAAAGTAAACTACGGGTTTCGAATGGACGAGGGCAGCTTGAAAGTTCTCATGATGCAGTTCTCTACGTTGGAGAATTTTCTTTCGGTCACTCAATGCAAAATAAATTCTCTACACTGGAGCAACAGACACACTGGAAGCGAAAGTTGGCCTGTAAGCACATAAATTATGCTCTAATGAAAATGAAGGAACAGTACCTTTTGCAGCATTTTTAACGTAGCCAAATGCACTGCTATTGGCATGCCATGATCAATAATGAATCATCATAACGTCAATTACATACCGAAGCTTTACAAATTGGTTCTCGTATCAATGTTCAAATAGCTGGTTCCACCAAAAATTTTATAAAAGGAATAAAGTACCCTCGCAGGAGTTTTACACTGCGCGACTAATCTACACTTTCGACCTGATTCCGCTTTACCTTCTTTGTTATTAGTTCTTCCTCTGGGTCTTTCTTAGTGGTCAATGCCCACTATACTACAACGGCATGACTTAGAGCTTTTCAGAACTCCCTGCTCTTCACTAGCTTTTTATAACTCACAAATTCATGTGGGCGATGTCCACGGCGTTCGTGTATCTCGTAATCCAACAGAAGCCACAAGTAAAGCTCTTCCCTTGACGACTGTTCGTGTTTTAAACGGTGGAAAAAGGGAGAGTAAAATATTCCTATACTAAATCCCCCTCGCCATTATTTATATGGCATTGTGAGGAATTTATTAGCACGGGCTAAATTCACGAGCTTTCACTGTGCTGTGACATCAAAAACTGTGATAACTCATGACGACAAAAGAAAGGTAAATACGACATCGCCGGCAGCTTGTGCCATCGCGCTTTTCTTTTTTTTTTAATGTAGCGAAACCCGTTGGTTTCTGATAATTTCGTAGTGTACTTGGGGGCAGAAAACTTACCGCACACAGAGTTCCATTGGCCACTGGCACACCACGACAGAGGCAACTTTTGGATACTCGGGGCTATAAAGACAAAAATATTGCCCTGAGAGAGAACACGACTTCAATCAGGTTTAAGCATTCGAAGAAAATTTGAGCACAGCACAGTTCCTCTAGCTCGTAGGAGAAGTAAATCAAAAGTTACAGTACATGAAAGTGACCTCATAACGTCAAGTAAATCGACACAAAGTATTGCTAGTATCTAAAATAGTCGCCCTTACCGGCACTGTTTTCTCATTATAGATCTTCATTGCACACGGATCATCTTCACCTGTTATGAAAGCACACGTAGGATTAGTTACATCAAACCTGATTCGTCAGGACTGTAGACAATTTTTACAATTTATGCTTCTTATAATTGAGGGCTTTTTGCTTGCCATCAGCAGTATGTTCCAATAGGTCATCCCTAGTGTGCGCTTAGTATTGTCTCAGTTGTAGGATTACTAATAGGTGGTTACATAATATTCTTTAATAATGAGTGATCTACGAGGTATGTACCATCCGAATGACACAAATGCGCTGTCAAGGAGAACAACACCATTTAAATTTACTTTTGAATTTACCTTTGTATGCATTAACACTTGTGTTATGGCTTATAAGTATTCTTATAGGCCATACCATTGACGCGATGATCAGAGCTACCAAAAAATAATCTCAGGAAAATAGTATTCAAGTCATTCTGCGCAAAAGATGAGAATGAATTGCGTGTGTTGCATTTGTTCATATTTATTTAGATTTAGTAGGTTTTACTTTCCATTATTGCGTGCAAAAATCAACGACAAGATTGGCACACTTACGAATCCGTGTACAGGTGCCTTCCTTACAAATACCAACTTCGTTTCTTTTCGTGATTGGTGTCTTGCGTATCTGTAACGAACAGTGAGCTTGAAGGGTTAAACATTGAAATAGAGGCGTCTCCCTCAGCAGTAGATTCACCAACAGATGAACTTACCAAACACGTAAGTCCATAAGGGCGATCTCGTTTAGTAAGGTCCGGGCACTTATACTTGCAGCTTTCCACGATACGCTACGAAAAAAAATAAAATAGTTCACATTTACCAAAATTAACGCAGAATAAACCTTTATTGTTACGAGCTAGGACAAGAACATGATGTATAGCACTTGGCGCAACCGCTGCTAACCTGGAACTATTTCCCTCTTTCCGCGCGCTATGGCGTGTACACGAGGAAATTGGCGTGAGGGACAAAATCACTTCCATACCCGCAAAGTTATTGATGTTTGAGGAGGTTCCTTGGAGGTGCACGGGACGTTTCTTTACGAGACCATTTCTGTAAGAAAGCTTGTTAAGAGATTGTGGTTATAAAAGGGAAAAGAAGAGAAAAGTGAGCCCCGTAACTGTCTGCATCCAGTGCGACACCTCAACAGTAGCTCACAAGGAATGGGGGTAAGGAGGAATGAAAAGGATAGGATTAAAGGTACACACAGAGAGAGAGAGAGAGATGCGCGTAGACAATGAGTGACGACAGAAGAGAGATAGGAAAGATTAAACATAGTCACAGGAGTTCGAGGACGGGGCACCACTGGCGAGAGCTCTTGTCGGCAACAAGAGATGGCGTAGGGCTAATCCAGTCGGCCAGAGCTACGCTGTCATCGTCGTAGGGGACCGGCGGCAGGTGGTGGCGTAGGACCAACCCAGACGGCCAGAGCTACGCTGTCGTCGGAGATCGCGAGGGCATAACCGGTCGGCACGGAATCCAGCGAGCGAGTCCCCAGTTTGTTAAGAGCCGTTGCATGATGTGTACGTCGAAGACGCCGTTGTCGGGTACGCTTCACGGCCGGCACTACCCAGTGTTGGCCACGTCAATCGGCACGTTAATCACTTTCCCCTTTATGCCTTACTGCCGCTGTCGCGATTTCACTGCCTAACGATCATGAATGACGGGGAGTTATAAGGCGTTCTTAAACGAGGCTGAGAGCAGGCAGGTAAGGGGTCTAGGAAGGATATCGGTACCCGTGCATAACACTCACCGTAGGAACTTGTCACGTGCGGCCACGCCTTTGAAGCGACAATCCTCGTCCTGCCAGCCTGCTTGGCGTTTTTCTTTTTCTTTCCTTCCGGCTTGAAGGCGACGAGTGTTCGCGTGCGGCCAGAGCAAACACCGCTGACACCCTCTTGTTTTCCTCTCTCTTTCACATTCCTTTCTCTGCACCACTCCCCAGTCATTGTGTGATGTTGTTGAGGTGACCTCCTGAGAGAGGGACAGTTATGGCACCACACTTTTCTCTTCACTTCCCTTTCTTTCAAATCAACTTCGAGGAGGTGAGTGCGCAGACCACCAAAAAGCAACGCTTTGAGTTGCGGCGCCCCATGTAACTAGCACTGTTAGAATCACCGGAAAGGCGACCTTGAGCGCGACCGCAGAAGTGTACAGGCAACACTGGTGTACACGCCACCCGCCGACATACGACAAGCCACAAGCGAAAGGAGCAAGCTCCTAAAGCAATGCGGAAGACAGACAAGTAAACGAATCATGAGCTTGTCTTTACGTGTGCAAAGAACTTCTTACTATGGCCAGTTTCGTCCCTCGTTTAATTCTATTTACAGACCGATTCACTTCCTGAAATCTGCGCGCTAGTTCCAACATAGGCACAACAGCAAACGACCTTCTCGCTACGGCTGCCTGTTCTGCGTGTCAGTTGCGCTGCGCGGACAGCAGTGTGCGGTCCGTGACAGAACAGAGCGGAACTGAGCTGTTCTTCCCTATAGCGCATGGTCGCTTGCTTCAATCGGCAGTAGTGTGCAGCCTGGGCTCAGAGCATGTGCTCGCGGGTTTGAACTCGCACACCTGATTTTGCATCCGTACCATAAGGTGCGCGGACTGCTCATTCCACTCGTACTTAGGGTTTATTTGGAAATTAACTGAGGTGGCGAATACCCACGTTGAGTGTGTATATAATTGCAGTCGCAATAAAATATACATAAGGAAAAAAATGATCTTGAATACGTTATAGGTTATAATGTAACGAAAGGTACAATCAGTAATGTGTCCATGTTTTCCAGAAACCATGTTTTCTATAAGCATAAGGATATCACGTTTTCAAACGATTCATAACACCTAAAGTGGTTCTTCAAGACATTTGAGCATAGGCAGAAAACGTTTCCGGTATGTTGTTACTGCTTTTGTGAATGTGTGAGCAAAATACTACTGCTCTGCGCAGAGCAAATATCTGCAGCTTAATTTCAAAAAATCACAGCATATCCCCAGAGTGAATCATGATGAGTGGGGCGAAGCGTCCGTCAGCCCGTCCGTGCCTCCGTCTATCCGTTCTTTCTTGCTTCCTTCCGTCCATGCGACCATCCATGCGTCAATCCATGTGTCCGTCCATCTCTCCATGCGTCCGTCCGTGAGTCCGTTCATCCATCTGTCTTCTGTTCGTGCGTCCGTCCTTACGTCCGCTCGTCTATCCATCCGTCTGCTAGTCTGTCTCGCCGTCCATCCGTGCCTTCATCTAGTGAACACTCGAAGTACCGCCATCTCCCATCTCGCATCCCCTGTGGCACATACCCACTCGAGAGCGGGTATGTGCCACCGGTGGTTGCTTACTACGTACGTACATACATACATACATACATACATACATACATACATACATACATACATACATACATACATACATACATACATACATACATACATACATACATACATACATACATACATACATACATACAAGGGATGGACAGACCCGTGCCTTAAGGAGCTTCCCCCCTAAAATACGCCAAGATTATTCACGGCCCTATCGGCTAACTACGTGACCGGAGAGAGCCACTGCGTAGAGCGGGGTTCTCAACATGACGGTCTTCATCATAGAGTTTCATACAATAGTACCTAGAGAGACTTCTGGCACTGTGATCGTGTGCCCTCATGGGAATTGTGGGAAGTACAGGCTTCGGATTGGATCGCGTTAGCCAGTGAACTGTCTACTGACTTTTTCCTACAGTTTCAGTTCCGTTTTTCGCGTAGAGTGGGTAGTGGGGTGGGTGCAAAGGACTGAAGCTGCGCCTTTGTTGTTCAAAGAAGCTGAAAACTGCTAGGCCTCTCAATTTACTGCAACGCTGGAGTTGTGTTTAACAGTTTGAGCAAAGCGTCATTCACTCACCGCTCCGCATAAACGTAACGTCCCATGCCAGGGCAGAGTATTACATTCGAGTTCACGTTTGTTGTTGGTGCGTCTTGCCAAAACTCGTTGAAATAAACTGCAAAACGACGGCAACGTGAAGTAGATGCACCACTACGCTCTTCTGACTCGACCTCACAACAAAACAAGAGGCGCGTTGGGGGCAGACCACTTGAACAGACGCACCTGGAATCCCAGCAGACGTAACGTTAAGTGTTCCTCACTTAATACTGAACTGTTATTTCCATAAATAGATATTGCATGCTTTCGGGGGCAAAACAATTTTTGTGTTAAAGCGCTGTACACAATAATTCATTTCATATTTATGTTTACCATTCATTTCATCTTGATGTTTAATCTGGATCTCAATAGCAGAGCATTGCATACTCTGGTGGTTAAATTTGTCCCGGTTTCACATCTACCACATAGTCACACAATCCTTTTGCATTAAAGTTTGCGTGCAAAAAAAGGAAGCAAGCTGCAGTTAGACATAACTTCCTATCACTTTGTTTTACACTCAGCAAACAAGCGTTACGAATATTAGGAACGTGGTTCATCTGAAGCAGATTCGAAGCCTTTGCTTCCGCTAATTCCCATGGGGGTACAAACGCCGCTGAAAGAGCCACCGTTGACACTAGCGTCACATTCTCCTCTAAGTATTATTGTATGAATCTCCATGGCCTTCGTCTTGCATTATTTTTTCCTTATTTCGTTATTAAGTATGTTCATGAGTTGGAAGAACGTAACTGATTTTATGCACTTTTTTCATAAGCCCCTTCTCCCCAGTCGGTCGCCATTTGTCGAAGCATAACCGTCAAGCAAAACTCTGTATTTCATAATGAACATCCAGATTGTAGTTACAGAGATCAACATGTTCGTATCCTGACGTTATATTTCGCTTTTGTTCGTGTGGCTCCCCGTTTCCTAATTCCTCGTTTTTTAAGCCGTGCGTAATAACGTAACAATGAATAGATAGATACCAAATAGTACAAGTGAATGCCGTTACAAACTGAATCCCCTTCAGAAACGACCCACGTAGCATACTGAAATGAACGGCTTTTACATGGCAGCAATGTCAAACACAGTATCATTGTGTTTAAACAATTTGCCTCCCCCTTCTCTATTCCCCGGCTCTGAGCTACTTCACTGCACAGGCATTTGTGGGAATAATTTACACGACCTCCACCCGCCAGTTAAAATTAGTTTGGGACCTCGTATACGTCAATGAGGGAAGAACCCCGTCATCGGTATTTTGTTTAGTGCCGCGGAATGACCATCGCTAATAAGCATGTGGTCTTTTTAGAGTTCAGTAAATAAAAAATACGTGCTTCCTAATTGAGAAACACCGAAAACGTAACTTATGCTTAAGTTTCAGGCCTGTTTAGTTTTCTTTTGTTAGCTCCGTCGTTCACTTGAGGTGGCAACTGGGGTGTTCCACTCATTTAATTTGAAATATTAGAACCTGAGTGGGATACTCGTCTCCCAGTGAGCCCAGTTTTTACAATACTTGCCGACGCAATCACCTGATTTTTGCAGAACTATATTGCTTCACGAGCTGCAGCCGCCAATGCCGGCGCCGCGCTCCTCGTTGCACCGAAACTATTTAAACGCGTTAAATAACAAAAAAAGGAACGTTAAAAAATTCACGAAGTCATGACCCGCGCTCATGTATCTTTACGCGTGTCATCCACTTCCGCGCAACTCCTGCGCAATCGTACGGATAAATGAAGGAACAAAAGTGCTCGGATCTCTGCAACAAAGGCCTGAATCCTGCCCAGATTTGGAATACTGTGTATAGCTTTGCGGAGAGCTATTCCCGATACTCTCCACTAGCATCGTTTCGTCACTTGATCATTGCTTGTAAAAGTGTCTAAGGGATTCCTTGAACTTCTATGAGTCAAGTGCAATATGACTTCCTTACGCCGTACTTGCTGAAGCGCTCGCTGTCATGACACAAGCCGTCGATGGCATGCCAGGTCGATGCTGCAAAGAAGAAAGTGCGTATTGGAAGAGTGAATACCTCACAAAGCAACTATATCCCGCTACGAATGCTTGACAAAGCGCAGGGACCCGATACCAGAATGGTGGCATATTCCTTGGATGCAAGTCCCAGTAAGGGTCACTACTGGCTCCCCAGTTACGCTAGCTGGGTACCACTCCATCTGCAAGCATATGCAAAATTTTCCATTCATGTCTTATTCTTTCATTTATTGTTTTTACAGTCCTGACGTTTCAGTAAAACGACTGGTATGTGCACTTGCGAATAATTGTTCGTGATCACTACGCTGTGTCTCTATAAAACTGACGGCTAAAGAGACGAGAGATGGGAGCGGAAGTGAATGTTCGAGCGGAAGTTACACTAACACCACGCAACTTGAAGATGGTACAAACAAAAAGAACGTGCCTGAAGCTGTCGCCCGAAGCCCGAAGCTGTCGTATTTTAATCTGAGAAGACTTACGATGAAAAAGACGATGAATAGCTAGAAGCCAGCACCAACAAACCAAAAAATAAAGAGGCTGAAAATTTGTTACTTGACAATGACAGCCAAACTCTAATCTGACTCCATATACTCGCTCGTTGAAATGAAGACGTGAAGAAGCAAAGGCTACCTTCACATTTAAAGACTTTAATACTCCGGAAATGAACTCAAGAAATCAGTTTGTAACTCTGCGACAAGTACCCCAACATTATTAGCCAAGTGTGCCCCGAGGTCTTAGTGCATACGTAACTGGGTTTATTAGCCCGTTGATGTCACTGACAATCGCCTCGTTAACCCTGCTTTTATGTTATAGCGTAGTGTAGCTCAGTACTTTTACCAACAATCGTGACAGAAAATAATTTACTTCCCCATGCCATTACAATACTCACCACGCATGGTCGTCCGTCATCGATGTCCTTGTTGTACCCTTTATAACAGTAATACTCGCAACCAGCCACTGCGGTAAGCTATGAAGAAACACCAACATACAGACGCACATATGTTTTCAGAAATAAATGGTTGCAGTTTGTTTTTGCATACCACTTAAAAGGTTACCGCAATCTATCCTTATGAGTTCTTACAGCATGCACTGAAAGTCGGGCAAGTGTTACCAAGCCACACACTAATATATTTCATGCTCCATTTATTCAGAGATTTAATGCAGAGATTATCACGATGTACAGCCTGCAAGTGCTTTTAAATTTCTTAGTCCAATTTGAGCTCAATACACTACACCAGCCCGTCACTTTCTACAAAGGTGTTTTTCTTTTGCTACAGTCAGCTTTTTTTAGATTATCCACTACTTCACACATCCATGCTGATGGTTTCACGTCTTGCATTTGTCTTTCCCGCACTCTAGACTACCATTCCAACTCCTTGCATCCCACGAGTACATCGAGCTATACTGTGAGAGTGGGCACTTTCATCAACTTTGTCATGTCTCGAACAGTCATGGATAAATATTCCTGTGACAACGACGAATGCGAATCTGGCCAAATCAGTTTTGCTTCTGAAACCTAGTTATTGTTGTTATTGATAACATTCGATGCAGATGTATAGTGATGCGTTCGTTTCGTCTACCCGGCGTGCTGACTTTCCAGTCATGACAATCGCAACTAAATTTGCTTTTCTGTTACTCTGTCATATAAAACATATTAACAGCAATATTAACAATGTGTAAAGTTTTACGCCCCAAAACCACAATATAACTATGAGAGACTCTTAAGTACGGCTCTGGAAATTTTGAATTTCTGGTGTTCATGCACTGACATCGTGACAGTACATGAACCTCTACCATTTCACATTTATCGAAATGCGAACGCCACGGCTGGTATCGAACCCGTGACCCTAAAGTTAGCTGCCGAGCACATTAGCCTTTTTTCCAGCTCAGCCCCCATGCCTAATTCAGCCCCCATGCCTACTCAGCCCCCATGCCTAATTCCTTTTTATATAAAGACGTCCTGCAGGGGTGGCTGCTCGAATTCATTTGATTCGGCGGCTTTCAGAGCTCGAAGTTTACCACACGCTGAAGGACTCGTGAGCTGTTGGTTTAGGCAAAAGAAGGAATCACGACAATATGTCTGCCTAATTTATTTATTTATAGAATACTGCAGACAAAAAGTCCAAGCAGGGTGAGCATACATGAAACACTAAATAACAGAATGAAACAAGGTTGCAAAGCGTTTTTTACACAATTTCTTTCCTATAAGACAGAGGGGTTATGGCTTAAAAAAAAAGTAACAGTTGAACAACAAGGTGATAATACCATTCAAGAAAGTCATGGAAGAAGAGTATTTACACAAATGGTCAAGGGCGTCAAGGAAATGCTTCGGTTAGTTTATTCCAATCATCTATTGTTTGTGGGAAGAAGGAGTACCGAAAAGTATCAGTCCTTGCGAAGATTGGCGTTAGGGAATGAGGATAGTGGTGTCGAGTGGGTCTTCTTAACAAGGGGGATACGTATACTGCGGTGTCTAAGGGTAGCCTGTGGTTCACTATGTCTGAAAGAAACTGTAGCCGACATTTTGTTCTTCGAATTTGTAATAGTTCTATACCATTTGCTGTTAGTAATGCAGTGGGGGAGGCGGATGATATAAATTTACTATATATGAATCGTACTGCTTTTCTTTGAATTCTTTCTAGGTTTTGGACGTTAATTTTTGTGTGGCGATCCCAAACTATGGAGGCGTACTCAAGTTTAGGCCTAATTAAGGAAAAGTAGGAGAGGAGTTTAACACTAGGCGGAGCAGTCTTGAGCTTGTGACGGAGAAGGCATAATTTACGGAAAGCGGCAGAGCAGATGTTATTTATGTGCGAATTCCAGGATAAGGTACTTGTTAACGTTAAGCCTAAGTATTTATAGGAGGCTACTTTAAGTAAAGGTGCTTCAGCTAAATTATAAGTGTAGTTTAATGGGACTTTTTTGCGCGTTATGGGGAGATACACACACTTGTTTGCATTAAGAAGCATTCCCCATTGTTCACACCATTTTGATATATTGCATAAGTTAGTATTAAGATCCCATTGGTCACTAATGCAGGTTACATCTCTAAACAAAACACAATCGTCAGCAAATAAACGAATTTGTACCGGGGTGCTAATTACATTGACAATGTCATTAATGTAGACCAAAAACAGAAGGGGGCCTAGTACGCTCCCCTGCGGAACGCCAGAAGTCACAGGAAGGCAGCCCGATTGTTTTTCTCCTACCTGAACATATTGGTTGCGATTGAGTAGATAAGCTGAGATCCAGGAGATAAATAATTCTGGTATACCAACTAACCGAAGCTTTATAATTAGTTTATCGTGTGGAACTGTGTCGAATGCTTTACTGTAGTCTAAGAATATTACATCAATTTGGCCGTTAGCATCAAGGCAAGCTGCAAAGGTATGAACGATAGTAACCAAATTGTGTTGTAGTAGAAAATCCTTTTCGAAACCCATGTTGATGATTTGTTAAAACTGAGCGTTCTTCTAAGAATTCATTTAATTTATGAGCTATTATGTGTTCGATAAGCTTACAGCATGATGATGTTAAGGAGATCGGTCGATAATTTTGTAGTACTAGGCGGTCACCTTTCTTGAATATAGGAACTATTCGTGCCGACTTCCAGTCATCTGGCAATTCCGCTGACAACAGAGGGACTCGAAAAATGACGAGTAAGTATTTTGCAACAGACTCTGCAAAGCGACGCAGAAATATGTTGGGGATATTGTCGGGACCGCAAGAAGTCTTAGTCTTTAGGTTCAACAACATAGCAACGACACCAGAATAAGAAATGAAGTTTACATTCGCAGCATTGTCCGCATTTATGACAGATGGGGAAGCACTAGGAGTAGAAAATACACTATGAAAATATTCATTGAGGTGTTGAGCAATGGCAGCTTGATCAGATATCATTGAACCATTCACAAAAACTTGTGATATGGGTTTCTTTTTTTCGCTAATATAGTTCCAGAACTTCTTTGGATCATTCTTTATGAAGTTTGCGAGTGACGTAGTCAAGTAGTATTCCTTCGAGGTGTGTACGTCATGTGCAAGCTTATCTAGAGCATCAGCTATAATTTTGGGGCCAGCATGCTTTTTCTTTAATTTTTTAACTTTACGCTTGAGATGAATGATGCTTCTCGTCATCCAGGGCGTATGTTTATGCACCTTTTTACGCTTAGACGGTATAAATTTTTCGACACAGTAGAAGCATATGCGTTTAAATTGGTCCCACAATCTACAAACATCGGTAGCTACAAAATCTATCAGACAGGTTTCTAGGTGCTGGATAATGCAAGCATCATTGGCATGTGTATAGTCTTTCACACAATGAAAGGACAAGTTGGCAGTTGCCGAAAGCGGTAACTGCCAACGCGGTAGCTAATGAGGTAAGTCACATTACCTCATTACCTCATTACCTCATTAGCGGTAGCTAATGAGGTAAGTCACAGGACATTATAGATGTGCACATAAATGTGAACATAAATGTGCACTTATGGAATGTCCTTTGGGAGATGATTTTAGACTCCAATTAAACGTTTTGAAGAAACCCGACGTTTCGAAACCGACTTGCTTCCTTCGTCAGAGGTGACTGCGGAGGCTACGTAGCAGCGGCGTCTTCAAAGCACTCGCGGGGTGGATAATGACCTCCCTTCTATGTGCCACCCTCCCCCTTGTCCTTTATGTGCGTTTGTTGAGAGTCATTGAACAGTTATGACTGTTGCGATATCGCTACGCCATATCGGCAAGAGGTGGACACTTAGAAGCATATCTGGACATTTTAGAGAAGGAAACACGTGTTTGCGATTACGAAGGCTATCTCTGAGCTATGCCACACAATCGCAGCTCCTTCAATGCACAGATAGAGGAGTGAAATGTTCACCACCATCTCACAAAAAAAAAGTCCGACGGTAATCTCACCTCAGGCGACACGTTAATGCTTGGAGCAATACACGTTGGTCGGGGGTAGGCTTTAAGTGTTTCTGTAAAAAAGGTTAGACTTTATTCTAAATGAGCTCGCAGATTCCCATTCGGGCCTCAGAAAATGCATACACAGTGGGAGACACCAAACTACAAAATATATCAACATTCTGAAATCTGACGGATAGAGGAATATCTATTTATTTACTGAATATTTACTATTCAATGTATGTACACTCCAAGTAAACGAAAATAAACTTATTTTTAAATATTTAGGTTGGTCCCTACCTGCTACCTCTGGTGATCTTACGTCCACTTCCCAATACGCTTCTATGTCCTTGATGCTGCAGTATCCTTTATCATTGCAGTATCCTAGAGTAACGTTCACGGCGTTTTCGTCTTTCGTGTAAGTGATCATGTGCTGCACGTAAAAAACATCCCCATAAAGTAAAATTCCAACATTTTTTTCCAGGATGAAACTGTTGGCGCGACAACGTGCAATGTGTTTTCTGCTTCCACACTTATTCCAATGTGCTTATTATGTACCTATTTGTTTTCCAATTATTCATCACGACTATGCGTCAGAACAAGTGCATAGACTTGCTAAAGAATTGCTAAAGTATCACTGTCTTTCTTGATGTACTTATAGTATTTATTTCTACTTTTGATTAGGATAGTAGATTTTGTTGTTTTACTGTTTCTTTTGCTTCTCAATAACTACCAAATAACCCCTGTTATGCACAACCTCCTTTCCTATATGTTCTTTTTATTATTATTACGACCAATGTACACTTATATACTTTATTTTGTTGTACGTTGTATATAAAGCTGCGATAATAGAATTTTAGGTACTCTCAAGCTGTTCGCAACAGCTTTTCGCCTGAGTGCCCCAACCAACTGCAAAAAATTGTGAAAAACAAAAATTGATTATTTGATTATTCTTAATACTCTTTTTCAGTTGTGCCAGAATCAAACTTTTTTTTCTGTATCGCACTCTTTATCACGAGATTTACGCAGGAGTACAGTGCTTTCATTATCCCGTTGATTTGTATGGTACACTTCAGGGTATAGATATAATGACACCACTGATTACCTTCATTATTGTAGTACCGCTTGCATGTTGGTAAAATGTGCATATATTTAAATATCAAGCTAGTGGGTGCTCTTCGTAATGCGACAGGAATCGGCAAAAACGACCTAACGGGAACAAGAGTTTTTCCCCCCGTGTGTACATCAAGATTTCACACTGCACATTTTACAGTCTCGTTTAACATTTTGTATCTTGAATAGGTTGTTCTCCGTAAAGCAAAGCACTGTCAATGTGTACTTCCACCGTTTTCTATACATACTGGCACTTTTGCTGTTTTGTAGCGTTTGATATATGTCCAGTGACTTAGTGTATTCTACAATATTTGTTCAAAATTTGTCAATGAACCTAGTGCAGTATGTTCACACAGTTCAGAAGTTTATTCGTGTTACAAACGTGTGGGCTTTTCTCTGTGTTTATATTTACATAAAAAAAAGCAAATGATACCTTGCTACTGTAACGTGCTCTCTCATATACCGGATTTTTAGAGAAATTTGTCCAATATTCTTTAAAAATTACGGTAAGAAGGTACCTGTGTGCAACTTCCAGCATTCCCTCCCTGTGGCAGAAGGCATCTTCAGATGGGTACAAGCATTAATTATGGCAGTAGTTATACAAATAACGCAAGTACCCTTTTAACCAGTGGTAATAGCCGGTTGACTCAAACAGGCCCTTTTTTTGAATAGTCCATGGCCACTTTGAAATTTTCGAAAAGCGGTCACTGGTAATGACCACGGAGCGTTGTAATCTGACCGATTTGATTGGCGAAACTGAAACCTACGCACCAAACAGCACATATACCATTCACTTCAATAACACCCTCTATGAAGGTACTGTTTTCCTCGCATTGGGAGAGAAGAATAAGCGAGCATCGATAAGCGGTCTTGGAGCGAAGTGTCTAAATTGACGGTTGACAATGGTCAGGAAAACCATATTGTCACTGAGGGCGTTGTCGAAGCGAATGGTAGGTGCGCAGTTTGGTGTGCCAGTTTTGGTTTCTTCAGCTAAATTAGATTAATTTTATCATTCCGCAGTGATTACCAGAGACCGCTTTTCCGAAATTTCAAAGTGGCTGTGAACTATTCGTTGAAAGAGCCTGAATTCGTCCGTTTGACATGACCAGCTATCAACACTAGTAAACAAGTTAATTTTGTTAATTTTATAAACACTGCCCTCATTATTGTTTGTGTGCATTGGAAGGTGCCGTCTGCCACAGCAAAAGCAACACCGCCAGTAGCACGCAAATACCTCCTTCCTGGGATTTTTCAAAGAATGTTGGATGCATTTCTTGAAACACTCTGTATAGAAGACGTGAATAATAAAAACTGATCGTAAAGTATGCACCCTATTTTTTGCATAATAATATTTCATGTAACCAAACCAACTGTGTCATTCCTCTTTTTTCTCTTCCTTGTTTGTTTTTGTTTCTGTTCTCCATTTTTCTCATTGCATCAATCGGAAATAACATCCAACTGTTCCTACAGCGAAATGTGCTATACGCTTCTGGAGAGCAATGCCTTGTCAACAGTCCTTTTCGCATTATGATAGTCAGAGAGCTCTCTTTGACTATCGCATTAGTCAACGATGTGCGAGTGACCGTCGGAGAGCTGTCGAAGGTATTACCACATGCTCTATGTTGTGCTCTATTACAGACTATGATACATCTTAAGAAATTTTAGGCGTTAAAGAACCCTATCACTTTAAATTGTAATAATCAACGTTGACGAACACCTTTCAACTTTAGCGTCTTTCTTCGCAACCTCCGCTAAAATACACAAGTGTGGTCGAATAGGATGCTTTGCGTGCTTCAAGGCCCAATGAAAGGATTTATCTACTCTTTTTTATTAATAGTGGTGTTTCTTAGCGAAGCCGTCTCTGTAGAATACGCAAGGGTGTTACATATACAAAACTTTTCGTTTCTCACAAGCAAGTTTTGATAAGTCTTTTATATAACATGCCGTCTCGTCCCTGAATATCTATAGCATTTAAAAATTGTTAGTGGTAGGAAACAATTTAAAGAAATTCTTGTGATCTGCAGATGTCTCGTTTCGAAACATATGGCGACGAAAAGCAGTACAGTTAACTTCGAAGAACAATGGCTAGAGATCACTCTTTTTGGTAGTCTAAGTGTGACCTGGAATAAAGCACACTCTAAAGTTTCAGATAAACAGGGCAAAGCTTCACGTAATGTGCTTATTCCTCAATAGGGCAACCCTCCAGGTAAATGACAAGCAGATGGTGATGTAATCAGCCCATTTTCATACCGCACAATATTGCTTGCTCCCTGCATTCCTTCCGTCAGTGCAAGTGCAGTTGCTCGTGACTTTCTGAAAGAAAAATGACTCTGTTCATTTCATTTTTCATTCGTTTATCCTAACGGTCTAACTTGGACATTACATAGAGGGTTGTAATACCTCATATGATCAGCGAAAACGTATGTTAGAAATAAAAACAGATAAGTGAAAAGGAAATGATATAGACTAATAAAAAATGCCACAGGTACACACATGAACGTATACATCATCGTTCGGGATTCTCTTCGTTATACAAAAATAAAATTATATCATGTGACTGCATATGCAGGCATAATAACAATATGACAAGCAGAAAAATTTTGTGGGAAAAATATTTTGTGCTTAAAGACTTTAATATTTTAATTTTTTGAACACCTCCTTTAGAGCGTCTTTGAATATTTTGTGATTAGTTATTTCAGCTATATTACGGCACAATTCTATTCTCAAATGGCTAGATGTAGGCACAAAAACTGAAATAGGTTTGTACATGCAAAAAGTTAGTACGTTTTTCGGTGCTTGAATGCATTGAAGAAAAGTACGCCGACCATCTGAAAGCTTTCACAGACGGATCGGTCTACATATAGCGCGGAGCAAGCACTGCAGCGTTTGTGATCCCATCTCTAAAGGGGCCGTGGGCAGCGCGACTCTATTGCGTTGCTTCGTGTACAGCATGTGAAAGTGTGGAAATTCAGGCAGCCTTCATAAGAAGCTGAAGTTTCCTAGGGAGCAACAAGTCGTGCTACTTTCGGTAAGCCCACTCTGCAGCGGCTAAAGCTTTGGTTTGTTTTGGGACAGTGCACTCAAAGATCGCTGCTAAGTATTGAAGACCTGCAAGACATTGCTCTCATATAAAGTTTCAAGGGATTTCATCTCATGTAGGTATAGTATGTAATGAGGCGGTGGACAGACTTGCCCGAAGTGCTTTGAAACTTACACACAACGAAGAAGGCTCCTAGAGACAATCATCAGGTTTTACGAAAAGCTCTCAAGAAGCCTCTCTAATCATTATCATTCACACCACAACATTCATGCGTGATAAAAGGGGTATATGTGAGGTTCATTCTTTTAGCGCGACGGCCCAGTGCTCTCCCATAGTTCAGTACGAAGTACACGAAATCGTTAAACATTTTTTTCTAAACTTACAAGAGACTTGAGTTCAGGGATGGCACACGCTCTCCCATAGTAGAGCACCTAGTGCTCTTAATCGTTAACTACATTTTCTAAACACATCTAGGAAAGAGGACTGTTCGCTACATCAAATCCGGGCGGGATCAGCATGTACACCAGCACGACATCACAAGATCAGACTCTCCGCGATGCCATTGTGTCCGGCTTCCAAGGCCTGTGGTGATATAGAACACTATTTCCTTAAAGGGGCCTGCAACACTTTTTTAGCATGGTCTGAAAACGCTACCGATCGGTAAGAGGCACCCGACTAGGAAGCCTTCAAGTGCGCGCGTCTCACAGAGACGCGCGCACATTAAGGCTCCTTACTCCAGAAAACGCGCGAGCGAAATATTAGAGCACAGCACGCGGTCTGGAATTCACAATAAATTATCAAAGTCAGCTAAAATTGCTTTCTCTTCTTTTGACAAATCACGTTATATACCTAAAAATCACACGTCAACGATCCATCTATGAACTATTGGCTGATTTGAACATGGCGCGCTTGCTCATTACAGAGTTCGCCGCTGGAAGCCGCTTCTTGTCCACGCATGCGCACGCAATCCCACTGAAAAAGCCGCGCATTCAAAGGAAAAAAATGAAGAAAAAAAATTGGCAGCATATGCACGGAGTGAATGATGGATTGTGGGGCGAAGCATTCGTCCGTCCATTCGTTCTTGCTTCCGTCCGTCCAAGCGTCCGTCTGTGTGACCGTCCATGCGTCCATCCGCCCGTCCGTGCGTGCGTCTGTTCGCGCGTCCGTCCCTGCGTTCGACCATGCATCCGCCCCTGCGTCCGTTCATGCGTCCATCCATGCATCTGTCTGTGTGTCCGTTCGTCCATCTGTTCACCACTCCAATTACCACCATCTCGCATATTTTCATCATATATTCCCTATATAGAAGCACCGCCATCTAGCGCAGATTCCAAGGACTAAATGAGAGGTGACACACGCACACTTTCTTACGGCTTGCGCTTCGGGTCTGCTTCCCACCTTTAACCACCTCGAATTCATGGTATATACCAGTTCACTGTATTCATGGCACTGCGGCTCAACGCTCGCTAAACCTTTCTAAAACTAGGGAGGTTACACCCAGCGAGAATAACGTAGCAACCTTTTCGTGACAGATAGTGCTCAATGTACATGCCAATGGCTGCTAATGGAATCGCAGCGTGCGCGTTAACTCCTGTCTCTCATTTCCCATTAGCAGCCGTTCCCATTGAGCACTATTTTTTATTGTTCAACAACGCACAGAAGAAATCTCTCCTCAGCACTACCTTGGAGGTCAAAATGTTTTACTTGTTACATAGTACAACGGCTACGAGGGACGAATAAGT